CAGGTACAGGTAGAGGTACAGGTAGAGGTACAGGTAGAGGTAGAGGTACAGGTAGAGGTACAGGTAGAGGTACAGGTAGAGGTAGAGGTACAGGTAGAGGTACAGGTAGAGGTACAGGTAGAGGTACTGGTAGAGGTAGAGGTACAAGTAGAGGTAGAGGTACAGGTACAGGTAGAGGTACAAGTACAGGTAGAGGTACAGGTAGAGGTACAGGTAGAGGTAGAGGTGATCCATCCATGTAACTCTGCATGTCTTCAGCTACAGAACACAAGTCCAGTTACTTTGTTCTTTTAAATTTCCATGTCCTGGCTGACTGAGAGTCAGCAGTCATGTTTGTGTCAGACCACATCCATAGTAAAGTTACAGGATCGATACTTTAGTTAGTTTCACTTTCAGAACGTCGTTCCTTTATCCAGAAATACACTGCTGCACTGGAGTACCCAGCTAAAGGCAGGGTCAAATGCAAACACTGGACAAAGCAAGCAGAGCAAATAATTACTTCATCAGCTGTGATTTCACAACGACTGTAAAAACAAYGCACACATGCCGACATGTGTAGCATCCATTTTACTTCTGTTAATTCAGAGCTGAGAGTGACGTCACGTCTTTTTCTGCAGAATCAGGTTCACACTGGAGTCTGATGGAGAACGTGTTTATGTGAACGACTAAAAAATAATAACAAAATCAGAATTGAGTATTAAGATCTGCAACGTTAATGTAGCCTTTGTCATGATTAACATTTTCAAGCAAATCTAATCTAATTTAATTTWTAAAGTTTGGGCCCACTGTTGCACAACAGCAAACAGAGGGTGACTTTGTTCTAGAGGTAAATAAATGATGATTTGTGGTGAATGATTTACCATCATCACATTTTATAACTGGTTCATTCAACTGCTTTACATATAAAAAGTCAGAGACACATATGTGCATGACCATAAGGTTAGTATTACACTGGGATAAGACTCTTGGCAAAAAAAACTACAAACAACACTGGAGAATTTCGAAAATGTCAAAACTTTCAGAGATTCTCAGGCTGTGTCTCAATTCAGGGGCTGGGTCCTCATGAGGACCCAGCCCCTGAATTGAGACACAGCCTCAGTGTCGTCCTGAGAGTTGTAGAGCCTCTCTCTCATGTAAGAAATGGATCATTTGTGTCTCCATCAGCTGAAACGCAGCGAGATGCCAGCTTCATTTACCAACTGAAACTGTGGTCCTGACAAGAAGTTGGTGTTTGTGGATCAAAAACAGTTTCATGGGATTTACAGACATTTTAATAAACTCCCGGAGATTTACATGAAACTAATTCAAATTTTTCCAGTAAATAAAATTGTTTAAAAGCTTGAGTTTTGTCATGACTTGTGAACATGACAAGATCACAAAGACCCGACCTCCATCAGACTTTATGGCACTTATAAAATTCTGTACACACAACCTTTGAAAACCTCCAACAAAAGCCTTTTCAACTCAAACTATAAACTTAACAGGAAGTTTAATCATTTTGGTTTGAAGGAACCATTTTTAAACATATATTTAAACAAACTCCTCTTAAAGTCTCTCTCTAGTACCATTTAAAAATTACTTCTAAGCCTTTCCCATTAAAACGTTACCAAAAGTTTTATTTTTGATCCTTTCCATGACTAAAGCACTGAGGACTAAAACATTAAGATGAGTAGTGCAACTCACCAGAAGCTCTCTGTACTTTGGCCTCTTAGATTCATCCTTTGTAAGGCTGGACAAGAAGAAAAATTAATCAATCACTGTATGCAGAGCTAGGAAATTATCTCAGATTCAAAATGAATGAACAAAGCCTGAAGAGAAACAAAAACAAAGCAGGTTGGGAAAACCTTTTTATTAAACAGGCACCTACCATAGGTTAACAAAGTTGATAAACTTGGGGGAGAACTGCCTCTCTTCTGAGTTGCTGAGCTGGGGAGGTTCTCCCTTCACCACTTGGGTCAGCTGATCAAAAACACTATTCCACTTGGGGTAAGGGAATCGTCCTGTGGCCAACTCATACTGAAAACAAGAGGAGAGGAGCTCATGGTGGGAAAACAGAAGAATTTCTCTCACTAATTTAAGCTTCATTCATTCCATGATTGTCTCACCAGAGTGATTCCCAAGCTCCAAACATCAGAGCGAACATCATAACCTTGTCTGGAAGCACTGGGGTCTATCCTTTCAGGCTGAAAACACACACAGAGAAATATAAACTATTTTTCTGTGAATTTATGTGTGTGAGAGAATACGTACAGCAGGTAAAGTAAGTATTGAACACGTCACCATTTTTCTCAGTAAATATATTACTAGAGGTG